GGGCACCGCGCCGCGCCACCACAGCTGGAGAGCCGCTTCTTGGGGTGGCCAATGAAGGCTCGGATTGCAGAGCACGATTCTTTGGCCATTTCTGAATTAGGCAGCTATTTACTCAGGCGCATCATCCCAGTATGCTCAGGGCCCTGGCTACCAGACAGGACCTGGGAGGAGCAAGGCTACTGCCTGCACGTATCTGAAGAGTATAACCAGCAGAGAGGGAGGAGAAAGGGGCGAATCGAGGGGTATCAGTTGGAGTCCTGGATTACGGAGAGCACGATTCTTTGGCCATTTCTGAATTAGGCAGCTATTTACTCAGGCGCATCATCCCAGTATGCTCAGGGCCCTGGCTACCAGACAGGACCTGGGAGGAGCAAGGCTACTGCCTGCACGTATCTGAAGAGTATAACCAGCAGAGAGGGAGGAGAAAGGGGCGAATCGAGGGGTATCAGTTGGAGTCCTGGATTACGGTTGATCAAAGAAAAGGCTGAACATATCCACTCGGAGGTTAGCCCAGGATCCTCACCCAAGGGCCTGCTGACAGCCCCAAGACTCAAGGTCTTCACAGTTCCATTAATTAAAGGCTTGGAGGCCAGCCTGTGGGGGACGATCCAGCCTGGGCCCTGGGGGATAGACTGGATGGGAGCAAATAGGTCTCCTATTCCCCAGCAGCCCGGTGTAAATTAGCCAGATCGCACCCACGTCATGCAATGGCTTTAGTGTCACACCCAGGCACCCCTGAGTGTGACCCCGATTCACGTGCCTCATGCGTTGCCTGGGCGGAGTCCCACTGGCCCGTGGTTCGGGACTCTGAGGGATCCGGGCCGTATGTCGGTTTCAGCCTCTCTTAAATCACGTTCGCTTAGTCACCCTGCAGAACCAAGCCAGGCATTCGGGTTTGCCGCAGCCCGGCGTGACAGCGAGTTGGTGGAACGCGTATACTGTGCACAAGAGTTAACGTCAATGATTCCTGACCCAGTGGCCCCCTGAAACTCATGGCCTGTGGTGGGAACCCCGGGTGCCCCAGCAGGTCGGGATGGGCACCCACCCGGCAAACAGCGTGGCAGAATCTTGCTGCCCACACACCCTGGCCCAGCAAGCTGGGAGAGTTCCCTGGGTGGGAGGAGGGAGAGGGCTGCCTCAGGGCCCTTGTCCGGGGAGCCCCCTTACCCAGACGATGACATCGCTGCGGGCATGGTCGAAGCGCATCTGCAGGCGTGCCAGCTCGTTGTTGTGCTTCAGGATCTCATCGTCCTTCTCCTCCGTGTAGTGCGCCAGGCGCACCTTCGCCTGCTCGATCATCTCCAGCCCCTCCTGCGCTGACTGCACGAGATCCTGGTGCATGCCCACCAGCGTCTTGTACCGGCCAATGACTTCCCGGATCTCCTCAAACTGCAGCACAGCGCACCTGGCGTTACTGCCTCATGGCCCAGCCTGGCACATGGGAGCCTAGTGCGCTGCCTCCTGGTGGCACCGGTGCCCAGGCCGGGAAGAGCAGGGGTGACTAGCACATCCGCCCTAGGCGAGCCGAGCACCCCAGCACGTCTCTGTCCCAGCATCGTCCTCGCCCCTATGCCCGGGAAATATCCTCCCTCCCCCAGCCTGCGCATCCCTCGGCACACATCTCCGCTCCCCCAGCCTCCGCTTCCTCCCCTTGGCCAGGACCCAGGGGTCCCACCTCCACTCAGCTCAGACCTGCAGCCCCTTCCCGAAGTCCCTCCCACACGGCCCTGCTCCCTTCTAGCGCCAGGAAAACCTTCCCTACGCTCTCTGCACCTCCGCAGGGGACCCTGAACTTTGCCTCATCTCCCCGAGACTCTGGCCCCTTCCCACGGTCCCTTCCGCATGTGGGGGCCCGTAGGGTCCACGCTCACCTCCGACACCTCAACCACCTTCTCCAGGTAGTTTCTGAAGATGGAGTACTGCTGCAGCTTGTTGTAGAGCCGCTGGTGCTCCTGTTTAAGGACCGCCATGTCCAGCCTGGCCTTGGCCAACTCCTTCACCCTCTGCTTCTTCAGCTCTTTCTCCCTGTTGGCTTTCTTCAGGGCTCGAATTCGCTTCTGGTCATTTTCCTAGCAACGCCCCGCCCCGGAAAGGAAGTCCCAGACAAGGGATGTGGGAGGTTAGCGATGTGACCGCACCACGAGGGGACATGTCCTGCCCAGCCCCACGCCCCTCCAACACCAGCAGCGCTTGGAAGAGGAGAGAGACTACGACAGGGCGGAGGAGAGGAAGAAAAGCCTGGAGGAGCCAGGCCTGTGCCAATGGGCAGCAATGGAGCTGGCCTGTCACCAGCAGCTGGGCTGGGGTCCCGTAACTGCCATGGCCATTGGCACCTGGTCCTAGGCTAGGGAGGGCTGCAGGGAACTTCCTGCCACCGCCCCAGAGGAGAATGTTGGCTGAGGCTTTACCGGAGATGCCACGAGAGCTGGGCATGATGGAGCCGCTCTTGTAGGCTCCCGGCAACATAGAGACACCCACCCCAGACAGCCCTCCTGAGTCCTTCTCTGGCTGCGATACAGAGGGAAGGGGCTAGAGCGGAGGCTCTGGGGGATAAAGGTGCAGCTCCTGCACTGAAACATCAATTCCTGCTCTATACGCTCTGTGTACAGCTCGGGTGTGTGTGCGGGTGTATCACGGAGCATCCCTCCGGCTGCAACAGGAACTGGCAGCTATTGTACAGATCAGGGACATGTATGTGGGTGTATTATGGAGGAACCCCCTAGATGTAATGGGGACAACTCAGGGGCAGGTGTGCATGTGTGTCACGGAGCAGCCCTCCAGGTGTAATGGGAACAGGCGGCTGTGTTACAGCGCAGGAGCGTGTGTGCGGGTGTCTCACGGAGCAGCCCTCCAGGTGTAATGGGAACAGGCGGCTGTGTTACAGCACAGGGCGGGTTGTGTGAGTGCTGCTGGACTGGCTGTACCTGTATGAACTGCTCAAATTTCTTGATATAAGCCTTCAGCTGAATCTCCTTAGCACCGAGCTCCTCCCATCGGTTATTCAGGGCCTCCATCCTCGTCCGGAATGCCTGCGGGGACACGGCGCCAGGCAGAGGTGAGCCCGAGCTCTGCTCCAGTGACCCCGCTCTGGCGCCCACAGCTGGTGCTCCCCCGCCCTGCCAGTCCCGAGCAGGGCCAGAGGTCAGTGGGTCGGCTTCTGTGCTGTGCCTCCCGGAGACCCCAGCCAGTCTGGGGGAGCCGCGCAGCGTGTGCCTGGCTCTGACGATGCCCTGCCACAGCAGTCACTGCCCGGCTCCCTTCTCTCACCTCCTTCTGAGCCTCCATAGCCCTGTGCACCAGGGCTGCCTCTTTCTTCTTCTCCAGCAGCCGAATGGACGGCGATGGCGATTGCTCCTCCGTGGCTGGGAATTTCCTGCCGCAAAGATACAGAAGCATTCGCCGGAGCTCAGGGCTGCCTGCTCAGCGTCGGGGACGTGGCCTGGCCTTTCGGGCGGCCCGTGGCCTGCAGGCTCTGAGTTGCTCACGTGGGGTCTGGGCTGCCAGGACAGAGCCCCTCCTTTGTGTGGACGGAGCCGAGGAGCGCGGAGAGTGAATTGTGGGCTGGTGGCCAGGCAGGAGGAGAGGTTGGGGGAGGGAGAGATGGTGGAGAGACCAGGAGGGAAGGGGTGGCAGCGCTGAGTGGGGGGAGCAGAGAAGGAGGTGGGTGTGCGGAGCAGAGGAGGCTGGGATGGATGGTGGAAGGCCACCGAAGGGGGGAGGCGAGGGGAAGGCCAAAGCGGGAGCGGGGAGGCCAAGGTGGAGGTGGGGGGGAAGGAGCGTTTTACTCACATCAGCAGCTTCAGGAGCTTCTGCCCGTACTGCATGCGGAAATACTCCGAGAGGTCCTCTTCCTCCATAGTGGCCATCGTGTCCACTCCCCGGGCGAGCCCCGCTCTGCCCCGCTGTGCAGCCTCTCCCTGGGGCCCTGGGTGCGGGAGTGAGCAGCTGGGGCGGGACGCACCCACAGTCCACAAGCGCCTCCCTCCCTGCTCCGCGCCGTTGGACCCCACGGAACCCGGAGCCAGAGCTGAACGATGCCACCTGGTTACTTAGCAACCATAAGGCCCCTGCCCTTTCGGGGGAAGTTTGTTCTCATCTGGCTGGGCCTCAAAACAAACTGAGGCGGTGTGTCTGAGCATCAGGCAGTGTGTCTGAGCGTCAGGTGGTGTGTCTGAGCGTCAGGCGGTGTGTCTGAGTGTCAGGCGGTCTGTCTGAGCATGAGGTGGTCTGTCTGAGCGTGAGGCGGTGTGTCTGAGCATGGGGTGGTGTTTCCGAGTGTCAGGCGGTCTGTCTGAGGATCAGGCAGTCTGTCTGAGTGTCAGGCCGTGTGTCTGAGTGTCAGGCCGTGTGTCTGAGTGTCAGGCCGTGTGTCTGAGTGTCAGGCCGTGTGTCTGAGTGTCAGGCCGTGTGTCTGAGTGTCAGGCCGTGTGTCTGAGTGTCAGGCCGTGTGTCTGAGTGTCAGGCCGTGTGTCTGAGTGTCAGGCCGTGTGTCTGAGTGTCAGGCCGTGTGTCTGAGTGTCAGGCCGTGTGTCTGAGTGTCAGGCCGTGTGTCTGAGTGTCAGGCCGTGTGTCTGAGTGTCAGGCCGTGTGTCTGAGTGTCAGGCCGTGTGTCTGAGTGTCAGGCCGTGTGTCTGAGTGTCAGGCCGTGTGTCTGAGTGTCAGGCCGTGTGTCTGAGTGTCAGGCCGTGTGTCTGAGTGTCAGGCCGTGTGTCTGAGTGTCAGGCCGTGTGTCTGAGTGTCAGGCCGTGTGTCTGAGTGTCAGGCCGTGTGTCTGAGTGTCAGGCCGTGTGTCTGAGCGTCAGGCCATGTGTCTGAGTGTCAGACCGTGTGTCTGAGCATCAGGCAGTCTGTCTGAGCATCACAAGGTGTGTCTGAGCATCAGGCAGTCTGTCTGAGCATCACAAGGTGTGTCTGAGCATCAGGCAGTCTGTCTGAGCATCACAAGGTGTGTCTGAGCATCAGGCAGTCTGTCTGAGCATCACAAGGTGTGTCTGAGCATCAGGCAGTCTGTCTGAGCATCACAAGGTGTGTCTGTGCATCAGGCGGTGTGCCTGAGCATGAGGTGGTCTGTCTGAGTGTCAGGCCGTGTGTCTGAGCATCAGGCAGTCTGTCTGAGCATCACAAAGTGTGTCTGAGCATCAGGTCATGTGTCTGAGCATCAGGCAGTGAGTCTGAGTGTCAAGCGGTGTGCCTGAGCATGAGGTGGTTTGTCTGAGCGTGAGGCGGTGTGTCTGAGCATGGGGTGGTGTGTCCAAGTGTCAGGCCATGTGTCTGAGTGTCAGGCGGTGTGTCTGAGCATGAGGTGGTCTGTCTGAGCGTGAGGCGGTCTCTCTGAGCATGGGGTGGTGTGTCCGAGTGTCAGGCGGTGTGCTAGTGAGGCAGCCTGTCCCCATTTCCCAGGACAGGTGAAAGAACAACCCCTAGAAGCAGGCCTCTGTGGCGAAAGCACGGGAGGGGCCTGGCTGTGCCCCGCCTAGTGAGGGAGAAGCGTCCCCATGCAAGCGAGTGCGCGTGTCTCTCTCAGGCCAGGCTCCAATTCATTACGGTGTCGGCAGGTTTCGTAGATCCCGCTGAGACAAGGCTCCCTACGTGCAGCTAATCCTGGCCGGAGTCCTGCAGCTGCCAGCATGTCACCTCCTATCAAGGCTTAATCTGTCTCAGCTTCTCCTGGCTGCACCTTTCTCATTAGCCAGGCAATGGGCGTCTCCTGCGGCTTCCCCGGCGCTGCCGGGGGAAATACCCCCCCTGCCGTGGCCGCCTGCAAAGCGCCGCAATCGCCCCCCCACGCTGAGAGGGAGGGAGCCAGGCGGCAGCACAGAAACAGCCAGGCAGGGTCAGAACCGAGGTCCCGCTGCTGCCCTGCCCCATGGCTGACGCTGGCCAGTGCCCGACGGGCGGGGCTGGGGCTGCAGATCTCCTATCTCCACAGCAGGGCAGGAGCGTCCCTTCAGCCCCACCAACAGGCGCCAGCCCTGGCTCAGAGGGTCCCCTGGTGGGATATGAGGAGGCCCTTCTTTCCTTCTGCCCCCGCACCCCCCAGCTGAGGCTAGTGAGGGGGGGCTGCAGCTGGGAAGCGGATTTGCACGGCCCTAGGATTGCTCGAGGGCCCACGCGAGGGCTGCGTCTGTGCAGCGTCACACGGATCCCTTCTCCCAGCTGCCTCGGCCCATCCGCTGAGCAGCGGTGTTCCCCTGGGCCCGTCAGCTCCTGCGCTCTCTTGTCTAGGCGACGGGGAGTTCGTGGGGGCAGAGCCGTCCCTGGGCACCCCTAGCACCACGGAGGTTCTGGTCGGTGACTGGGCTGCCTCGCCACGGCCACAGGGCGGTTAGTAGCATCAGATGCCGCACAGCGTGCCCCGTGCACCGCACAAGCGACTC